CTAGAAAGTGCTTTAAAGATATTTACTGGTCAACATCACTCTTGAACGTTTAATGACTCAAGGAGTCTATCACAGACTATTGTTTGCAATACCATGTTATACCCAAAAGAGTAAGGATATGCATTAATACTTAATAATAATTACAGATTCAAACTTGCCCTAATAGTTCATGCAATCTTTCCTTCAAATAGTTCACCAAAATTTAGGCATATTTTTTCATAACTCTATTTTTTTGAGGAACAGGTAACTGTGTATTCACAAAATTAAGTCTAACACGGACTTTATATTGTTTGCAATAGCCATGTTTAATATTCAGTAGAGAAATTTGAGAGTGATACAATGATTTCTGAAATCAAAACAAAAGGTAGGTTGAAATATACTTTAGGCATATGTTTTTTTTTATTGTTAAAAGATATTTGCACATTTTTTTTTAGACTGGTAACATGTGTATATATATATATATATATATACATATGTATATATATAAATATATATGAATTAGATCTGGTAGGGTAAAAAATAGAAGGCCATAAGAACTAGTCTATGGAGCTTTACAATTGTAGTCCCTACAGCTTCACAAGGAACCTATCATATCAACTAGTGATTCAGTCTCCTCTACATAGTTTTCTTTACACCAAAAAAGGAACAAAAAGAATACAATTCATCTTGATTTTCTGCACAGGATTGCTTTTGTCTTCAAAAATTCTGTAGTTCCTCTCTTTCCTAATTGTCCACCATATACAAGCTGGGACAAGTTCCCACCACTTCTTGTCTCACTGCACCGCCATTATAGTTCCAACACTTCAATAATTCACAACTTGTTGCTGGCATAGACCATCTTAGTCCTACCAAGTTCAAAAAAAGTTGCCACAATTGTCCAGTTATAGGACAATGTAGAAACAGATGGCTATTGTTTTCTCTGGCTGCACCACACATACAACATCTACAGCATAGATGAAATCCCCTTCTTCGTAAGTTTTCTTGAGTGAGACATGCTTCTCTTGCTACAAGCCAAGAAAAACATAAGACTTTGTAAGGGGCCTTAGTCTTCCAGATGAACTTCCATTTCCATGGCCACTGGTCAAATTGTGCATTTTGTCTAATCTGGTAGTTGTATGCAGATTTGACAGTGTAGACTCCATCACTTCCAGATTTCCAGCACAACCTATCCTCAGATTCTTTGAAGCCCTGGAAAGATTTCAAGGTCTTGAACAAGTCCACGACTCAGATTCTTTCCATCACTTCCATTTGTACTAAACAGTCAGCAACTAGAAAGTGCTTTAAAGATATTTACTGGTCAACATCACTCTTGAACGTTTAATGACTCAAGGAGTCTATCACAGACTATTGTTTGCAATACCATGTTATACCCAAAAGAGTAAGGATATGCATTAATACTTAATAATAATTACAGATTCAAACTTGCCCTAATAGTTCATGCAATCTTTCCTTCAAATAGTTCACCAAAATTTAGGCATATTTTTTCATAACTCTATTTTTTTGAGGAACAGGTAACTGTGTATTCACAAAATTCCATCATCCAAACAATGATAAGAGTGAGCACTTACATCCCGTAGGGTAAAAAATAGAAGGCCATAAGAACTAGTCTATGGAGCTTTACAATTTCCCTATAAAATCAACAAAAAGTTCTATATCCCCCACCATATCCTGTTTACACAAAAAAGACTGAGGCAATTCATTCTGATTTTTTGAATGTTGTTGCTTTTGTCTTCCAAGCCTCTTGCATTCCTTTCCTTCCACAATGTCCACCAGATGCTTGCAGGGATCAATTCCCACCAGTCCTCTTCTGACTCTCTTCTTCCAATCTCTTTCCAGCAGTCCATCATACTTTTAGTAGTTTTGGGAACCACCCAACTCACTCCAAGTATACACAAGAACATGTTCCACAGATTTGCAGCTGTTTTACCGTGTAGAAATGGATAGCTATTTATTTCAGCATCCTGGTCACACATAAAACATCTTGAGCAAATATGGATGGCTAGTACTTCATGAGTCAAAAAAACTTTTCTGCAAACTAACCACAAACCACAGGAAACATGAAACTTTTAAGGGGACTTTGGCTTTCCAGATTAGTTTCCAAGGCCAGTTCCTAATCTGCAGTTGGCCAGTATTTCTCCTCCAATAGCATGACTTCACAGTGAACGCACCTTGCTGTGAAGTTTCCACACTGGTCTGTCAGGTGCATTGGTAGTTCCATAGAAATCATTTATCACCATAAGAAAATCTGCAACTCTTTGAACCTCCCAATCATTTAGGGCCCTTCTGAAGTTGAAATTCCAACCTTGTATGCTCCACATCTGAGCATAGTGGCCCTAGTCTGTTGGCTGAGGAGGAACAGATCATGGAAGAGAGATTTCAAGCTCCTTTCACCTATCCAAAGTTCATTCCAGAACTCAATCTTCACACCATTACCCACCTTGAGTTGAATAATTTTTTGAAACTGGGGCCAGGGTCTCCTAATAGTCTTCCAGACACTACCAACCAAAAGTTCCAAGGACATCTTCAGTGATCCAGTGACTTTGAAGTCCATATTTCTCAATGATGATTTTTTTCTATAAAGGCATATCCTCGGCACAGGACCTCCATAACCATTTTTGCAAAAGACGAGTTTTGGAGGCTGAGTTTCTTGATACCTAATCCCCCCTGCTTCTTGTGAAGTGTTACAACATTCCATTTTACAAGGTTGTAACCTTTCTACTCCTTGTTTCCATTCCACAAAAAAGTTTTTCTGAGCAAATTTATTCTCTTCACAATACTCTTTGGCATAGGAAATAGGCTCATCATATAGGAAGGAAGGGAATCCAACACAGATTTGACTAGTGTTAATCTCCCTCCTAAGGACAAATACTGGCTCTTCCATTTTGCCAATCTCCTGTCACATCTCTCTAGACCTCCATCTCTTTGTTCTTTGCTCCCAGGGGCATCCCTAGGTACTTTATGGGTAAGGTAGCTACCTGACATCCAAGATTACTTGCTAATATCTCCATATTATCAACTTTGTTCACTGGCTAAAGATAACTCTTTTGCCAATTAACATGCAGTCCAGAAATGCCTTCAAAAATAGTGAAGATATATCTAATCTGAGATACTTCAGCTTCACAAAATATTAGTGAGTCATCTGCATAAAGCAGATGTGTGACTCCCCTTTCATCTTCTCTATGTCCTTGCACCTGAGCTTGAAACCCTTTAACCAACCATTTGCCCTTACCCTCCTGATCATGTGGTTGAGCCCCTCCATAGCAAAGATAAACAAAAAAGGTGATATAGGATCACCCTGCCTCAACCCCCTCTCGGACGAAAAGAAGCCTTCATTATTGCCATTTATAATCGGAGAGAACTTTAAAGTAGAGATGTAGAGAACGTATCCAGTTGATCCATTTTTTACCAAAACCCATGTCTTCTAGCACCTTAAGTAGAAACTTCCAATTAGCATGGTCATATGCCTTCTCTAGGTCAAGTTTGCATAAGATCGCTGGAAACTTTTGTTTCTCTCTGGAATTCGCTAATTCATTTGCTAAGAGAGCCACATCCATAATCTGCCTGCCTTTTAGAAAAGCCATTTTGGTGTTCATTTACTAATTTCCCCATAACTGACTTCAACCTTTCAGTAATAAGCTTGGAAAGTATCTTGTAGACACTTCCTATTAGACTGATAGGTCTGAAATCCTTAAGCTCCTCAGCTCCAGCTTTCTTTGGTATTAAGGCTATGAAGGTGGCATTGAAAGACTTTTCAAATAACTCTTTCTAATGGAAGTTATGAACAGTTCCAGTAGATCCTCCTTCACAGTGTCCCAACACTTTGAAGAAACTCATTGTCAAACCATTTGGGCCCGGGGCTTTGTCTCCATCACATTGCTTGATTACATTCAGCACCTCTTCTTCAGAAAAAGGTCTTTGAAGCCAATCTTGTTCCTCTTGTGAAATGGTTGGGAAATCTATCATGTCGAAACCAGGCCTCCAACTTTCTGATTCTGAGTAAAGTCTTTTTTTAAACTCAACCATAGCAGTCTTGATTTCATCAGGTTCTACAATTTTTTCTCCTCTAACCACTAATCTGTCAATAGTATTAAATCTTGTGTGAGCAGTTGCCATTCTTTGGAAAAACTTTGTGTTGTCACCCTGCTTCAACCACAACACTCTAGATTTCTGTCTCCATTTTGCTTCCTCATTTTTAGCCATATTTTCCAGTTCAACTACAATGGTTGCTTCAGACAAGTCCCTGCTTTCCATTGTCAGATCAATTCCTACCAATTCTTCTAGTAAACTGTTCTTTTTGTTGGTTATTTCCCCGAAATTGGTTTTGCTCCAATCTTTCAGCTTATGTTTGAGCATTCTAAGTTGGCGGAATGACTTGGGAGGCCCTCGTACTTGGCTCCGTTTGTAAGTTGGACCCTTGTACTTCTGGCTTTGCCAACTGAACCCTTAAACTCATTCAAACACTATTTTAAACCATTTTCCCATCAGATGTGTGTGCGTGTATTACACTCATTTTACACATGAAATTCCACGTCATTTTTTAATGACACATCAGAAATTAAATATTTAAAAATAAATAATATTTTGAAAAAAAGATGCAAATTTTTCTCACTATACTCATTTTCCATATTCCCACTTCATCTTCTTCCTCCCCACCCTCTAATCACCATTTTTCGTCTTCCTCACACTCAAAATTTTTCTCAGTGACAAAATGTGATAGATTATAATTAGCTCTTACACATGCTTTTGGGTTCTATTTATTTAGATTTGGTAAAAAGATATATCAAGAAAACTTCAAATTGAAAAAAAATATGTTTACAAGTAAATTCAAGCAATAGATCTTGAAAAATTAAGTTTTAAAAAAGGTGAATGAGATATTTTTTAACAAAAGCTTTTTATTATGATTATGGTAATGGGGTGTATGTCAAAGAAGAAGAAAAAGAAAAGGGGTAGGGGCGGGGAGTGGGTGGGT